TTTATTTAGCGGGAACCTATTTTCATGATATTTTAATCAATTAAAATTACATTATTCGACACTACTATACTATAGTCGGGCCTACTAAATGCAATAATTTTTAATTTATTTACCTGGTTCACCACCTCCAGAAATCCTAGACAGCAAAGAAACCATAAGTAAATAATATCAGGGTTGATAAAAAATTCATTGGGATCCAGCAAAAACTTTTAAATTTTTACAGAGATAAAATGGTTCAGAACTATACTGAATTTTGGGTCATAATGAAAAATTTTTGTGCAAAAGCTGATCTGTTAGTCACTAACATAACTATACAAGATTCTCACCATTTTATATTCTTTGGGTTTAAAACACACCCTGTTTCGTTCTCATTTCTACTATGGAAAGAATTAATTTGTTGTAAAAATGGCGATTGGCCTAGATACCTAGTGACTATAACGTGCACATAAGACGGGTTCGATTCCCGGCATATCCGCAACAAATATGGATTTGGACCGCTTTCCCGAAAAGCGTTATTATCCACAATAAAAACAAAAACACCCGATTGCAAAGTACTGATCCATGATCTGCTCACAATAACTAAAGAAAAATCCAATCCTTCCAAATATTTATTGGTAAACTTTTCAGTTCCGACTTCTTCCTTCATGAACCACTTCCCTGTTCAACCCTCGACTTCCGGGCTGTTGACTTCCTGAAGACTTCCGCGGCTTGTTGGGCGATCCCACGGTCAGGGGCTGCCATTGTGCAAGTGGAGTGCCATTGTGACATTGTTCAGCAACGCACAATTGTTTTTTTAAAGAATCACTTGATCAAGCTCACAAACGGAGCTGGGTGATGAAGAGGCACTTATGCTTTGACTTGGTCGATCACCTTACTTTGACTGAAAGTTCCTTTTGGATGATTTCAATGCAGTGCACGGACCTCGTTTGGTTGTAAGGCGTTGAACTTTCAAGTTGAATTTACGTTGTAATGGAAACATACTCATGAAGGAGATTTAGCTGTTATTTGTTTAGGTATAACGAATTTAACTGTTGATTGTCAAGGTTGGTTTAATATCCACTCCTAGGTGGTTGATCATTACATTTTTTGTTGCTTGAAACCCCTTTTAACACATTTTAACTTGAGATAGAAACTCTTGTGAAGTTATCAGCAATAAAACCAAAGAAGATTGTCAAACAAAACATCACACCCAACAAATTACCTGTTGGTAGATTTATTTATTTTTAACCTATGATTGAGTGGAAGACTATCATCTCATTACTATGTTATGCAATTTTTCTTCGCATTGCATTGAAAATCACCTTAGTAGCCAACCTTTAAGCAAACAATTGACAAAACAATTTTTTAAGTAACACGGACATCCTATTTATGAGAAAGGGATGTCTTTGAGGATCAAATCAAAACAGAAAAAGTGTGTCAAACGCATTTGCACCAAACAAACAGTGATACATCATACTTAATTTTTCCGCTCTTCGGGTTTCCAAACTAACTCCATTCAGGGGCAGTGGTGCGTTGCAGAATGCGCACAATAAAGCGATTTACTACAATCCTAAAAGCTGGTAAACGACCGGCGGAAGATAGGGGTTGAGGACATCGTGAGAATCTGTTTGGGATGGGGTGATCGCCAAAAATGTGCTATTTATTTTGCCCGCTACATAGTGGCTACCCTTTAGCCGACAATGGGCTTCTAATTGAATCGCTTGTACGCCATTGTACGTCGGGTGATAACTATCAATTTTGATTCATCCGCAGCTGCCCTCCCCCCTCTCAGGGTTTCTCGTATTGTGCCTTTGTATTTGAATTTGGGCCGAGCCACCAGAGGGTCTTCTTCTTTATTTACATTTCCCATTCTCGGCTTTTATTTTTACACCGGATGATTCTCAAAGGTCGATTGACCCGGACAAGTCGACCGTTCCCCACCTGGACTACGGCGAAGGGAGGTCCACGTGATAAGGCTAGTGTTTACTATCTTGGGATCTATCGTGTTCACCCTGATTGTAACTGTTAACACGCTCAGAGATTATAGATAACTAGTCACTGTTTTGTGTGTGCTGTAGCTGGTCCGTTAGTAAACTTAAATTTGAAATAAACAAAATATCTGCATTAGTATAAAATGGGCAACGAGTGTGACGATTGTTTTTTACCGAGCACACCTTTTAACCTAGGAAGCACTTTAGTTGTGTCCGAGATGTATCATTTTAAAATTGATGAACAACAACAACTGGTCTTTGATTTTAATTGGGAATTTAAAATCACGGTATATAACAGCTATGAACCAATTTTATATTAGGATTTTTGTTTGTCCCTGCACTAAAAACTGTGCTGCCCTAATAATCCGGTTTAAGAGAAAATTATGGTCTCCCTATTAATTATAGTCTTAGCTAACTCTTACACATTTGGTGTGCCGCATTTGTAACGATACATGTTAGAAACATAACTATATATTTTAAATAGTAAAACTACGGAAAACCCTTATGTATATGAGTTTACAATCATATGTACTTGGTACGGTTTCGCCGTGATCGCAACATATGCTCAAGGGTGTTGCTGCGATAGCTATAGATGATCACGATGCATGATCTTATGCATAACCCTATCATGTTACCTATCGCCACACACGATCGTCTAAACGGATTTCATAGGATTTGACGCAGAAACCCACTAGATACACCAGATTTTGACAACACCCTTCCTGGCACGACCCCTACCAATCACCGGCCGCATCTCTTATCGCCTCACTACAGCATCCGTCTGTCCTAGACAACACCGGCTACGTCATTGTATAAGTGTTTATCATACCAAGTCTCCAGGGAGGGGGAGGGGGTGTCAGATGGAAAAGTCTCACAGACACGTGTGTTTACTCTTGTGAGAAGCGACAAACATGAATCAATTTGCGCCTCTCACACGCAGATTCTGCATTTTTACCGCCATTTTGTAGCGATGTTTGTACAGAGGATTGTTTATTCGACGTCTCGAGGGACCTACATCGCAACTTTGCTAGTGACAAGTGATTGTGAAACTGATCGCGAGGACACATGATAAGGTTTTCTGAAAAATCAACAAATCGCAGTTTTTTTTTTTTTTTCAAGATAGGGTGTCCATTTTAAATTAAACAAGGTTACTCACACTTGTGTCTTTATAAATATATAAGAGCAATATCGCTATTTGTGGTAATAGTTGTCTGGGTAGACTAGGGATTTCAGCGCTCGTCATCAAAACAGTACAGTATGTTTTGGTTCGATTCAAAGCGGGCCAACTATAAACACATTTAATTCTTCATTGCACTATCAATGAATGATGTGTTATAGCAAAATGTTAACATGTTATTGTAATAAAAGTCAAACAATGCGTTACATTTAGGACATTCACAACACCACAAAAATAAAATTATATATTTTTATTAAAAATAATTTTACGTTAGATTATATGAGCTTCTCCTAGTGTGGAATCAAGATGTATGGAGTAAAAGTTTACTCCATACATCTTGCCATCTTGGTGTGGATTTCCCCAGGGGGCGTTGCCAAGACCCCACTACACTACGAGTGAAGTGTAGTGGGGTTGCGTACCGTTTTGAATTCTCCTCCAATACGCATCAAGTCAAATATGGGTATATACAATTTGATCGAAACCAGGTAGCCATTAAACCACGATGATCAACACCAATTTGAGTCCCCAGCAACCTTATAAAACGTACTTAAACTATCTCCAGCATGTTGATATGCCCAAGTTGATAAGGTGACGATACCACTGAGCCATATTCCAGAATTGGTCGAACAAGAGTTTTATATAGACCCCTAGGGATGAGAATGTCAAATATATAGTTGATGAAAATATTAAACAAAAGTGAGCCTAGATGCGAGCCTTGTGGAACTCCAGATATGACTGGGGAAGACCGTGACATTGAGCCCTCACACCTTAAAATCAATTCTCTGTCAATCAGATCAGATAACTTTTCAGCCAGTCCAGCGCACTGGCACACACTCCATACCAGCAAGTTTAGAAATGAGTATGTCATGATGGACCTTATTAAACGCCTTATCATAATCTAGGTACTGTAAATACAATCAACTTGGCAAGAGTCTGTAAAAGCATCAGTAACATACTCTTGGAACAGAAGTAGATTTGTGTTTGTTGAGCGACCACTAGTGAATCCATGTTGTCTGCCAGCTATGATACGCATGAAGTAAAACTTGAGGCGATCTGGAATTAGTGTTTCAAGACTTTAGCTTTAGCTAAGGCTGACTGGATTACGATGGGTCTATAGTTCCTAGTTCCTAATTTGACCACGTTCACTAGATTTATAAATGAGAATAACACAAAACCTTTCTTGAGTGCTGAGGGGGAAATGCTAGACTTAAGAGGGCATTAAATAACACTGCGAGGTGTGCTGCATGGACAGATGCACAGAATTTTCAGCACCTTTGTTGCAACTGAGAACCTGAAGTTTAACTAGGATTTCAGTTGCAGAAACTTCAAAATAAGACAAGGAGGAGCTCCAGCCAAAATCAAACGATTTCACAGTAGGATCAGCTTGGGAGAAACGGACGAGAAGTGCTGAGTGCTGTGCAAATGAGCTGTATGTTGTGTGGTGTTTTCTGAGTCGTCATAAATTTGCCAAAATTTGGCTTTTATTCATTTTAAAAATCAGCTACATGTTTGTTGTTTACAACCACTTGAAAACATAAACATAAAAAATCTATGGCCACACACAACAAACTTTCGTATGAAACAAGTGATGACTCTTGCCCCTAAGTCATGAATTCCCAAAAAAGAGTTACATGAAAAGTAACTCGCATGAATGTAAAGAAACATTTTAATTATTTTAAATGGTTTATATAGTGCATCTCCTCTATAACCATGTTAATAATTGAGAATTTTGTTTTTACTACCCTTACTACAAACTTGTAGGTTTGTGTGGTTGGTGAACCTGCTAATGTAAATACTTAGCTAACCTCAAAAATATGTTTAGTGAAAGAAAAGAAACATTCCGGCTGTGTGTTAAATTATTCTGGATTTCATTTTATTTTTTGAACCTTGATTGAAATGATTTAGCAGTTATTAGACCGCAACAGTTTTTTGATCGTTAGATTATTGAGTTTAGCACAGGACATAATTGTGACTGTGTTTTCATTTTGTAGACTATTGTTTTTGTAATGTTTTTATTTGTTGAACTTCTCTGCGAGTAAGATTTTCATCGAAGGTAGTGCCTAAGATGTCTTATTATCACTTTTACTCAGTACTTTGTTTATTATCTATTGTTCTCGTGACTGTCACAAGTAGTTCTACGAACTTGTCTCCTGTATTTTGGATTCCATCAGGCCAATCGCACAATAGGGTTGTAAGATCTCCTTACACTACACACAGCACTTTGTTGTCAAATATTAAATGTAAGGACGATTTAAGAAGATTATGTCCCAATTTAAACAGTAACAATGACGACTTGACTGTCCTGGAATGTATTCAAACAGCTAAGGTAAGTTTTAATTATTCTTTGTTCTTGTAACTTAGCCTACAACTTAGGGCTAATGTAGACACCCTATAGCAAAGGGGAGAATTGATTTTGTTCTGCAGAGAACCTACGATCTATTATCTCATGCAATATTAGTTTGGTATATATATATATATTTATCGTAAGTTTTTAGATATTGTTATCACGGAACTTAATATCAAGTATATTAGGCCTATAGCCTAAGTTATTGGATATGAACACTAAGCCATAGTGTCTTTTACACTATTCTGCGGCAGCTAGGTTGGGTTTAGTTTAGTTAATGATAACAGGCCTAACAAACAGGGTAATACATGTACCTATAAAAACAAAAGTTGATACGTTGTGTAGTTTCCTATTTAAATAGAGAAATTTACAAAGACGATTAGTTGTATTTAAGTTTAAAGCCCTCTTTTTCATGAGTTTCTAATAAGGTCAAGTTTCGTGAATTATATTTTGTTTGTCATTATGAAACTAGGCCTAAACTGATCATAAAATATTCCACAGCGCTCTGTAGTACAGACTTTTTTTTTAAAGTTGAAGAGAAGAGACTCATAACAATAACAGATAATCAATATTAATATCCTGAAATATTTTAATTGATAAGTAAGGCAGTTTGTGGTGGTGAAGCCTATTATGAATTACAAAGAAAACAGTGACGCTTGTAGTATAAGAAGTGGCTTTTGGACAGAAATAAGTTCAGTCACATGTTGTTAATGTCTGAACTTGCATTCAGTTACATAGAAGACTTTAAAAAACTATTTGCGAATGAATCATGAATCAGGGACTTTTGAAAGAGCTTCTTGGGCTTGTTTCACAGTGTACAAAAGGAAGATACAGGGATGAGACGATAAATTTGTACCAAACAGGGTCTTGTTGCTACACAGTTTCTAGCCAGTCGTAGAAGCTATGAAAACTTAAATAAACACAATAAACCATCAGATAAACAATACTTTGCACACAAAATACAACTACAGTAGAACCCCTCATATCCGGCCACCACGGGACCAAGCCCCTGGCCGGATAGCGATTTGGCCGGATAAACCAACCTACTACAAAAATGAAAATTATTCATACCTATAATAATATTTAATCAAAACATGCTGTCAAAAGTATCATTTAAGTCTATTCTAGGATTATTTTTTGAAGAATTAACATGTTTGTACAAATAAAAAAAAATATTTGTAGACTAAAGTTGTTAAAAAAACCTGAAATTAAGATTTCAGGTAACAAAAACTATTAAACGATGGAGGTAAAAGTTTCATTAAATCAGCCTTGAAGATTTTTAGGACCTTAATAGTAAATACAATTCTACTCAACCTTCTTATCCTTTTTGTGAAATAAATACAAAGATTAATTTCCCAACCCCCAACTTTTTAGAGGTTAGGCCTAGTTCAACTGAGTTTAGTGACACAGTAAAATGTATTGAAACAAACAGATAAATAGTTCAGATAAATAGTTTAGTTCAAACAAGTCGCAAAGACTAGTGCTTAAAAGCATCTAAACGTCTGTAAGCTTTGAGAAAAACATTTTGATATTGGCTTCCTGGAAGTGGCCGGATAAACAGAGGACCGGAAAAACCAAGGCCGGATATCAGGGGTTCTACTGTAGATACAGCTACCACTCCAGGCTGACTGAGGGTATGTCTGTTGAACCACTTGGCATCGCCCATACACAACCCAACATGTTGGGTACTCAGTTCGAGTTAGCCTGTTCTGTCAAGCCGAGCATCAAACCCAACATATGCCTCGAGCACGTGGGATCAGCGCCCACACACAGTCGACCTTGTTGGCCCAATGTGTTGGAATCGAGCAGCTCGGCCAACATGTTTGACCTGTATGGGTAGCTTTTAGCCCATCGAACAATTCAGCACCACAGAATGGGATCATACTTAGAACTGTGATTGTTTCTGAGGAGTGGTGAAGTAGGCTTCCTAATAATTATTAACAATTGTATAAAGAATCTTTATTCAAAACATAAGTTAAAATTATCATCTTTATTAAAGATGATAATTTTATGTTTTGAATAGACCTAAAACAAATTTGTTTACAATTTAAGGGAGGCCTAAAAATAAAATCTCAATCATGGCTTGCCCAAGGTGAAGACTGCTAACTTTATTGACTGTTCCAAACTCCTTAGAAACTGTCCAACCATAGACAAATAGAATAAATATAGACCGGTAAAGCAGTGTTGTGGTTAGCATATGTTCTGGCGTCCGCCGCTAGGATTGCCGTGAAGTTACGGCGCGAACCACTGCAGCGTCTGCTGGTAGCATACGGCGAGGAGCAGACAACAACAGCGAATTGAACACGAGCACGCTCTAGCGGCACATCGCGGAACCTTCCTTTGTCAGTCTATATTTATTCTATTTGTCCATGGTCTAACCAATAGTAATCTTGAAAAAAATGCAAACGGTAATGCAATCCCTCACTTTCTGAATTATCACTTTTTATGACTGATTTAGGCCTACCTATATAGCTTAATATCATATATAAGTACGTTACTCTCCAAAAGCAGGCCACAAAAAGACCGACATTAGTTTATTATAATAATGCCAGGCATACGGTATGTAAAAAGAATGCTGGACTAACTTATTACATGGTATACTTAATTTCTTTCTCGTAATTTGACCTATTTACTTTAACTGTAACATAATGTGCAAAATGTGTAGGTACCGTACCGGTAGCTTAGTTATCTATTGATGTTCTAAGTTATAGCATGAGTTAACTATGCAATATGTTCTTTTTTATAGCTCTTCTTTATTATTTTATGTTCTTTTTTAATAAAAAAATTGTTGTATATTTTCAGGGTGATGCAATAGCAACGATAAGTAAAGACTGTCATCACGAACTTTGGACAGTGACAAATAATCTTATGAACAATGACCAACTCAAGATTATTATCACACCAGCATGTCAAAGCGATTGGAAAAGTGAATGGGATAAAGGCAATCTTTTGATAAATGTACTCGATAATGTAAATAATATAAAGAGCCCAGAATGCCGTATTTTACTACAAAGAATTGGACTTGTGGCATTCAGTGACTTCAGGATAATCGGTCACTTTACAAACAGCTGTGAAGAAGATATACAGAGGTTTCAATGCGGAAGAATAGGACTAGACAAAATGGTGAGTATAATTCCAGTTAGCCTGAGTAGCTATGGTTTATGCAATAGAAGACTCTAAAAATGTTTATTAATTAGGCCTACTTTTAATAAATTCTAACCAGACTACCTCACTGAGAAAGTCTTTGTCATGCCTATATTTTTTTATATAACCTAAGATTCAGCTGATATCATATAAATTCAATCCTTTGGTCATCTAAGTGTTTGCTTTTGTTGGTGTTTTTTGTTGCTTGTTTTTTGTTACCTAATATATTATTTTTATATTAGTGACATATTAAATATTACTGAATAAACATAATTAATGTTGTAATACTTGTAATAGATTAATTCCCAATAAAAAATCTAGTCTAGTAGGCCTATGTTGCGTATAAAATTGTTAGGTATCTCTAAAGTTTGTATCTAAAATATTTTAATACCTTTCCTTGCTCTTTTAGATGTTATCCCAAGGATTGACCCTGATGTGTCTTCAGCAGCATTTAGAAGATGGTTTGGCTGCAGAGTGCAAAACGCAAGTTCTGCACTTGTCACAAGTTCAGGCGGACAATATAAAATTTGATCGTCAGCTTTATTTAGCATGCAATGTGGAACTTAACAAGTTCTGTCCGACAGTAACAATAGGTCTAGGTCAAGCGTATGAGTGTCTGATGCAACATAAGTTCGACACACTTATATCCCAACCGGTAAGTCTTAGAGCACACAAGCTTCAAATTTCATCCATACTTGGTAATTGGTAGCCTACCTATGTAAAATAATTTTCTCCGATTTCTTTGATAATTTACATGTTGACTTATACTTTGTGTATGCTATACCTTAATGTAGGCATAGTAGCTATCATAAAAGTTCTATCTTGATGAAATATTTTGCAGCCTATCAAACTTGTAAATGTATCAAGATTTTGTAAAAATATTTCAAAAACATACAATTAAGAATTTATCTATTTGATTAAATCCCTATTTTTTATAAGATACAAATAATGCTAAACACATTATGTTTTCCCGGATGTCCTATAGGGGTTTTCGTTTTACCATGGTAAAAATGTTCTGTTTCTTGTTACAGCAATCACAAGTAGTCGCTGGTGACTGTAATTTTACTGGGTCTGGATCTATGTACAAGCCTTAACATAATACATTTTCATGTAGGCTACTTTGAAAATGTTGGAATAGGTAACAATTTAACAAAGCAACTGTAAATTTTTCTAAAGGATTGCTGCAAAGGGATTTTCGTATTTAGATTATTCAAGTTTTGTTTTTACCCAAAGCTCAGAACACTTTCGAGCAAACCACCAGTCAGTGCTATGATCTTGTGTGCCTTATTCCCTGCCTCAATCACCATGTTTCTTTACTATCACAATTTGTAACTTTGTAATTTGTAAAAATGATCAATATTTTATTTAAATTATAAGGGTAGGGTACATCTTAGCTTACCTATACACTTTCTTTCAGTGTCAAGACCAATTGTTGAGGCACCAGAAGATTATTGTACAAGACTTCTCAGTCAGTAAAGGTTTGGCTCGAGCTTGCAAGGAGGACATAAGGAACTACCGTTGTCGCCGCCTTGTGTCCGATGATAAAGGCGTCCGTCTTGCCCAGATTCTCCTGTGTTTGGAAAACGCTATTAAGAATGGTAGTGATATTCATTCATTTGTGTGACACCATTTTCTGTAGCATGATCGTCAAGCAGATTTTGATGCTTGCTTTTTCACCTTGCACGTTATGTTTGTAGCCTACTAAGGTAAACTACTTATAACCCTCCGAGTGTCATGCGTCGCTGCAGCAACGCGTAACGCACTTTGTATAGTGTCGTGCGTCGCTACAGCGACTCGCGAACACTGTTTACGGCGAAGGCTCTATGACTAACTGAATCGGACTGTACTGGATTGAGTTAGGTATCGTTCTTTCCGTAATATTCTAAGCTTTCTCCAGAGGTCTGTCTCTAAGCACTATTCATTTTAGTTTCGAAAATATTGTAGCAGACAGCTGACTGAGCTGACGTGCGTGTATTTGTAAACAGCTAGGTTACCCTCGGACCGATGACTGATGTGTTTTATTACATTTATCATTGTTTTAGTGTTAAAAATCAAAAGTAGTGATATACGTGGTGCATTATAAGAAGATTTAAGTGGTTTTGAAGTGCTGGTTGATGATCCTGAAGAAGTAGGTAGTGATATTGATGTAAATTATCAGCCAGATTCCTAGCTATGGTTGGGCTATGCATTCTTAGCTAAACGCTATGTACTGAAATCTGTTTTTTGCCCATAACTTATTTATTTGCAAATCTACTTCCTTATATTATTATATATTTGTAATCCTCATAAAATTTAGAACAAAGTGGCTATTTTCAAATATTTATAGGCCTATAATTTATACAATTTCATTGAGCGCAAACTTATTTTTTTTTTTTAATTTTCGAAATTATACATTTTTTTTACCAAAAAAATTTTTTTTTAAAAAATCTTCCTTATGTTTTATATATAATATTGAAGCCCAAGATTTTCCAAACAAAATGGTATATAGAACAGTATAATTAACATTGTTTTTAAGCTTCTCAGATCAGTTTTAATAAAACCTTGCAAATGAGCAAAAAATAGGCTGACATTAAGGCCAAAACACGTGACACTCGGAGGGTTAAGTTCCTAAAGTTAGGTTGTGGTACATAATATGTAGCCTAGTACGATAACTTGCCAATAAAAACCTCAATGCATGTTATCAACGGGCGGGGTCTACTCGGTCACTAAAATTCAATAGCCTACACAACTATAATGCCCAATCTAACAATCAGTTCACTAGTTCACTCAATAAAATAATAAATACCAAATATTAGGCCCAGTCAGAGTATAGGCAATGTGAAGTGACCATATCTTCTATACTTATAAAAGTCAAATACCATTCACTGGATCACTGTTGCAGGCTCTAGGTGTGCAATAAGAAGCGATTTCAAGAAATTCTATCAGAAGTTCCCATGAAAAGATTTGTTTACATTTGGATTTGAACAGATAAATATTTTTTAAATTTTATCATTCTATTAACTAAGGGAACAGCTGGTTGTATTTATTTGATTGAAATGAAAATATTTGCATTATTTTGTGGCTTGGAAATTTTGTGTTTTTACTGCATAACACTTATGGCAATTCATTGTCCAAGGAATTAAAAAATCTAGATTATGTACCCTACACTTGATGATGTTTTTAAGATCTTTTTCTCAGCATATTCAGCAACTAAATAACAGTAGGCCTATATTATTTAATGTGTTCAGAATATCAATGTCAAAGGATTATTCACAATCGAGTTTCGGCTAATATTTTAAGGGATGGCATCTGCCTTCTTCTATCACAACTTTGTGATTGTTTATAATAGGAAGGTGTTCAAGAGATGAGATGAAAAGTGCTTGATAAGTTCAATCACTTCCATCCCTAGACTAATAAAAATGGCAAAATCATACAATTTCAGATGAGTATGTTGCTTTACAATCCCAGTTCACGGTTTTGGCAGGTTATGGATCAATCACCAACTTGTCATTATTAAAAAATATTTATCAAAAACTCTTTAAAACCTTCACAACATTTTCAGGATCCAAGGTAGCCTGGGACTGCCACAAAGAGATGGTGGAGCACCGTCGCATGTTACTTGAAGACTTCCGTCTCTCCCCGGAGATTGTGTCTCACTGCTCCAACGACATTGCGGAGTACTGCAACGGTCTGGAGGCTGGGGGTCGCACCATTCACTGTCTCATGGACCACTCACGACCCAAGCGACGCAAGGAGCGAGTCTCTCCGCCGTGCCTTAGAGCGGTACTATTAATTTATGAGATGGATTTAGCCTGTGATCCTTGTCATCATTGGTGGGTTAGTGGCTCAGAAGTAGCACAGCAGACGACAAATTTGTAGCAGCTATGTCACTGATTAGTGTCGCAGTGAAGCCAATCAAATTTATCAGGACAGAGCATTAATGTGCAGTATTGGCCCACCCCTGACATTGTTTGATATGCTCTATGCTCAGGCCCGTGTATACTAGCAAATGCAGGGTTATTTTTTCAAAAAAATTTAACCCTGTTTATACTTATAAATATATACATATTTATCTACACAATTAATATAACGGTTGGATTTTAACAACTACTCTAGGAGTATATATAAGTCAATTGGAATGCAATCATTCATTGGATACAATGAAAAAAGATAATAGTATTTAAATAAAATAGACAATAGCCACTTTATTTACATATTCGTAGAGAGAATAGTACATGCGTCAACTTATTTAATTCTTTAATCTGCAAACTTGTATAAAAAACAATTGTTGACAATTTTCAGCAAAATGTTGGTGTAGCCAACCTGAGCCTCCTAGCCATTTTACCGACAAATAATCAAAAGTATATTTATATTTATTGTTGTTATATCTTTGTTTTAGTTTTATAGTGTGTACACATGAGACATTATAAAAGACTAGTGGCTTGAAGGGGCAATAGCCCCTATATATATTCTAGTAATTATTTTGTACAATTTATTAGTCTCATGGGTTACCCTACCTTGATTGTAGTTTAAGATTTTGTATATTATAATATGTATAATAGTTATTACATACCTGTATAAAGCATTTTGATGTCTGCTCTGTTAAAAATTAAAATTCCAAAGGACTTTTCATGCCCCCAAATTATCATGCCCAGACCTTTAACATAAGACCTCTCCCAGCTTTTTACGGCCTCCCGTTCGCTCACAATTTCATTGTAAAAAGGTTGGGCTTACGGAGTTAGATATATAGATTTTATGTGAAAATTTCCCTTGTAAACTTAAATGGCATATTACGATCTGTAGTTATTAGTTTTATTTTTGGCCAGAAAAATTGTTCACTTTGCTTCTCAAGTAATTACTACTAATTTTACACTTTTTTTAGACATAGGTACCTAACACAACCAATCGTACTCCATTAACTAATCCAGACCCTAGGTTAATATTTCTAATGAGCATTACTATTGAACCAACTTTTAAAACTAATCTGTGTGGTGGCATTCCAGATGGTGCAATTGAAATACGGTTGTATATAGTCAATTAGTATTTTAAACCTCTCTTTAGGGTTAGTATACATTTTACAGTACATTATATACTGTATTACCATATGCTTTAAATAAAGTTAAACCACATGTTTTAAAGTAAACAAAGCAGACATGACATAGATTCCCATGTTATTTAAATGTGAATTATTTTATTCCATAAGGACCTTTTGGTGCATAATTAAGAAAAATGAATAGTTTTCCCTCAAAATTCACGTCAAGACCTTTAAAATAAGACCCCTCCCATCCTTCTACGGCCATCCAGTCAGTCACAATTTCTTTACAAAAATTTGACTTACGGAATTATATATAAGGATGAGAAAAACGGTCCAAGGTCTGGTATTATCAGGCCTACTGAAGTTGTAATAAATAAAGCATCAGTTGTCAATATCCCAATGACAAATGACAACCAGGTCCATAAATGCTCCTTCAAAGCTATGCATTTTCATAACAGCATGAATCCTTGATATAATTTAAATTCATACATCTTGTTCTAGTTAATTTATTATTTTACTATTGCATTATTGAACTTACTTTATAATTAAGGCTTGGTTATTTTAGTTAAAATTAGAAATTCTTTTGCAGCTGGAAGATCTGGTTGAAAAAACAGATATTGGTGAAGATTGGAGAGTGGATCCATACTTGAAGGAAGCTTGCAAACCTGTTGTTGACAAAACATGTCAGGATGTTAGAGGAGGAGATGCAAGGTAAATGAAGTTACTTTGAATAATCAACTATTGATTGAGGTTAAGTATGTACAAAGAATAAGTACCTAGGCTTAACAAATTTGGTTAGAATAGCACGCTTACTGAAACTGGGAATGAGTTCACTTTGGCACGTTTACAAAAATGCACAAACTTCGCACTATACAAAAACATTACAGTATTTCACTGCAGCCAACAGTATTTTCAACCAAGGAAAGTGTTTCTTCCTTAGTTGAAAACGCTTACAGTGATATATTTCTATTTTGTGTATAGTTTAAAATTTTTTTAGTTTCTCGTGCTGAAGTGGACTTTTATCTATTAAGGGAACTATTAATATAAGGGGTCTTCTAGAGATTGAGTTATTTTTACAGGCACCATAGCTGAACGAGACGAGATTCAAACCTTCAATCTATCTCTTGGTCAAACAGAAAATAGAAGACCATTTGTACATTGTTCAGACTGTTGACTGTTGACACAGTCAAACCTATTATTTTGTCTCCAGAGTCATCAACTGTCTGATGGAGAAGCTGGGCAGTCCGGTGATGACGGAGGACTGTGAGGAAGCTTTGCTGCAGATCCAATACTTTGTGTCACGTGACTACAGGCTAGACCCCCAGCTGTTCAGAGCGTGTCACGCGGAGGCTGTGAAGCTGTGTCACGCACGTCGCGCCTGGCACAGCGAGACCTCCATGAACCCTGACTCAGGTCCTCTAGTGCTGCCTTGTCTATTCAGATACATCTACTACAGTGAGGATAAACATTATACGGTATGATACATTGTAGGTAATATTTAATGAAAACATAGTGATTTGGTAACAAGTGTTCCCAAACGTTACTGTATTTCGAAATCAAGTGTACTGTACTACAAACACATTATCATTGTACTGGCATAAAACAAAGCTTCTACACTGCTGCTCAGTTTCGGCACAGCAGTTTTTTGTCAAAATAAAACACCATTTAATTTTTGTATTTTTTTATGTCCTAGCTTTTAACATAAACTTTAGGCCAACTAGTTGAAGGAAATAAAAGTCTTATTTTTTAAATAAAATTCAAGTTTATAATGCTGATTCCTTAATTCCCCAGTCAGGTATGCGTTAACCATTTCTCCAAATTTAAATATTGAAAAGAAGCTTTGGAACTCCTAAAGGCTTAGCCAATGTACTGTATAACTATTGAAGCTACTAAGTTTTATATTTAAGGTAGTTCAAGGTTGCTCTCCTCTCAGGGTTGTAAATAACATCATTGGAGGGTTATGTGGAAATTACATTTAAAAATTCTCAACAAGTTTGCTGAGAAATCCAGACTATTGGATTATCAAGTCCACTTAGTTACTGTATTTCCAAGTTAAGTATGTGTATACTTATTGCCATGGACATTTGTACTCAATTCGGTACTTGGTCCTAGTAACACAGTGCTTCCATCTGTCTCTGTCTTCAGCATCTTCTTCAATTCCCAAAAGACTCATGTCTTGCTGGACCTGATCCCACCATCTAGTTCTTGTTCTTCAACTGGGTCTTCATCCTTCCATCGTTCCCTTTAGAATGTTTTTAGGTTTCTTCTTATCTTCTTAGTACATGTCTAGTCCATCTAAGTCTTCTGCTTCTTATCTCTCCTATAATGTCCGGTTTTTTATACAACTTTCTTAGTTCCTGGTTATGCCTTATTCTTCATTTACCGTTGTCTTTTGTTGGACCAAATATTTGTCTTTTCAGTTTCCAGGTTTCTGAGTGTAGATTTGTTTTTTTACTCAATTTTGGTAATTCAAAGATTGTGATAATCCAACACCCTCTTGGTCCAGTATGTGATGGATAACTAGTATCTCTTCCCTCTCTATGCCACTAAAATATCATCTTAGGAACTTACCAGTGTAGTAGTAAAGTAGTGATGGTCAAAACCATAAATTTCGAATCTTGAAACCAAAACCGAAACTAAAAAAATCAAATCCCGAATCTCGAATCTCAAAACCTGAACGCGAAACTTTTTACCTGGTCAAGGTTGCTAAAAAAATAAAAATACAGGTAATGATAACATTTTCATTATGATTATGCAATAAAATCTTTGTGTTGTTAGTTGTTCCAGTATTTAAGATGCTGTTTGCAGTTCAGAATACAATTTACTTGTTTCATTAGTGTTAATGGAGATATGTTTGCTCCATTGCTACTAGCTTGTGTGTACACAATGTTATAAACAATAGTAATGACGTAAAAAATGTCATAATTTTCAAAAATATAAGTGCCAAAACTTCCTATTTCAAAACTTTTGAATCTCGAAACGAAACTCGCCTATCGAATCTCGAAACCGAAACTTTTTCTAAGTTTCGATGGATTTGAGATTTGGTTTTGACACATCACTATGTAAAGCTTATCGTTGTGTTTCCAGTTGTCGACCAAGTGCAGTGACGAGGTGCGCCGCGTGATGAGACAACGTGCGATGAGTGTGGAGCTACAGCCTGAGGTGGAGTATGAGTGTCTCAACGACCTCGCACGCTACTGTATACATGAGCAGGAGCCTGCTAAGGGGGAGGAGATGTTGTGTCTGCAGGACCACATGGAGAGGTAGCATCTTGTCATACATTACACACCAAGATTAGTTAGTAATTACAGTTAACTTTATGTCACAGTCAAATCTTAGTACTCAGGAGATGACCTGAGTTAAACTAGTGGAGATACTGGCTGATATTTGGGATACATTGCAACAATCCATCTTCAAGCCAGGCAATAATTCAAATAAAATTTAATCAACTCCCAATGTCCAAGATTTTATAGCCTTTTTTGACTGGAAGCCACCTTGTTTATAGCACTGTATGGCGTATATGCTATCTTAAATGGCCAACACTGCTGATGAATTATAGTTTGTGTTAAACAGGTGCAAGTAGCTTTCTCAAACTAGCAATATCTAGCTTATTAGGCTAGAAGCTACTGCTGAGGTACCATTTTATTGACCTAACCATTCATCTACAGTTGTAAACTAACAATATTTTGTTAAAGCAAGACCGATAAACATGAAACGTTTATCGGCATATAAGCATAAACATAAAGCTCCTAAACATTGAAATATTTTTATTTAGCCTATTGTTTTTGTAATATTTTGATATGTTCTTGTTTTATTAGGTAAACTTTAAGCAGGGTGTAAGCTTTTGAAAATCTGTTACTTGGTGTCCTGTCTGTTAACAAAATCATAAATACAACTTTTGTGGAAGCCCTGAATTACATATTTATATGAAAAATTTAAGGATATAAATATTTTAATTACATGTAATTGAAGCATTTACATATTTCATTTAATTATTTAATTTTAATTTAATTTAATTTATTTCATGGTTTGGATGTAACCAACAATCTTACTAACCTATTTACCAATTAGGATGTCTCAGAAAAAAATGAATTCCCCGAAGTCCTGGAATTTTGAAAGGAATGATAATTTAACACGTTGACTGCGGCCTACTGCTATAGTAGTAACGCGGCACTGGCACTGCTCGCGTCCTACAGCTATAGCAGTAGTATGCTCGCTTGCCAAACATTGTGTCAGTATGAGCCCAGCACTCGGCCAGGAACATTATGATTGTTGCCAGGCTGTAGCTTGGAATGCGAGCTTTATTTAGATGTAGGTTGGTACTAAACATTCCCCTTAAAATTCCATCTGTCAATGGTTTTGTCCCGCTTTGGAGATTTTCTCTATTCGAGCCATATTACAAAGACTCTGGTTATTGATCCAGGCAGTGCTGCTCCCTTTCGGTGTTTCAGTGAACTACGTCCACATTCAGGGTCACGCAGAACAATCATCACTGCTCTTTTGTGATTCGTCTTAAGTTACTGAGATATTTCAATGCCAATAGCGATCGCTGATTCAGTAGCGCACCGGGGCTCCGCCCGCAGTTTAGGGAGCTCCATAGTGAAGGTTTTCAGCAGTCAACGTGTTAACCACCTAATTACCACACTTACTAAACCAAAATCTTTATTATGTTTCAGTTTGGAAGAGAACTGCAAAAAAGTGATTCACAATTTTACAGAAATACAATCTGAGAACTTGGAGCTGAATCCTCTGATTATGACTCACTGTAGAGCCATCATGAGTCATCATTGTGAGGTGAGTGTGCTGAGATTCATAAGGCTTTATGGGGTTTAAAAGGAGAGGATATCCAACGTACTTGTATAAGAAACTCAGGCAGAGATGGTGTTACTAACACCATTGTGGTCTTCAGAGTTAAATGTGCTCCACAATAGTGTTACCCAAGTGTTACCACGAAAGCCTTAATTCTTGTATTATGTGTTACTTATGACTTTAATTGGACTAGAATAATAGGATTTTATTTTAAAATAAAATATTTGTTAGTTGAACCCATACTACAAATCTCACATAACTTAAATTCTTGTGCTAGAAAACTATTAGCTATTTTCATGACTTCAAGCTTTTGTTACTATCATTATCAATTAATTGATAGCACAAAGACAAATGCCATCTAGGTCCAGTTTTCATCTTGCTCAGGAACATACCTTCAACTATCAGACTTGAAACATATACTAACCTATAGTAATACCAGAAACAAAAGAACCCTGGGCCGTTTCGACCCGCGCAGGTTTGAATGGTACGCCACACCTACCGGTGCGAACCATGTGATCTTTTTGTTTCTGCGCAGGTTGTTTTGTTCTTGGGATGTCTATAACTTTACCTTTTAACTTTCCGAACTTAACACCCTTAAACATGAGGCTGATTTAGTAATTACAGTAGAGTCCTGTTAGTCCGAAATGGTTGGAACCAGGCCCATTTCGGATTATCAAATATTTCAGAGTAAACTTTTTTTTTTGAAAAAAAAATTTAATTTTTTTTATTTTTTTTCTTAGGACGCAGGCACGAGCCCGGGATTGTTTTTCACATTACTTAAGGCTAGACCTAGTGGCTGCAGTATTATCACTTAATAATCCATTTGTGATTTGGCGGGATTGGAACCCGGGACGAAAATGAAAAATGTTAATAACAAAAATTGTGAAATATTTACTAAAATAATAGGCCTACTCTACAAAAAAAGTCTATCTCCCCCGGCCGCTACAGAATACTTTGACGAGGTAGGCCTACAGCTAACTGTGTTAAAAGTTTAATAAAACAAAATTTAAAAAATTTTTTTTTTAATTTAAAAAAAAAAGGTTTTTTTGTTTATAAAAAAAATATATTTTTGGTTTCGGATTAAGCGGACTTTCGGATTACCGAAGTTCGGATTATCGGGACTCCACTGTATTACTTACCATTGTTAATATTTCTTTTCTAGACATATTTGCGTATTAATGCTCAAATTGTCAAAACATAAAACAAAACCTTACACAACTACCTGACCATGGCAGGCGGAGCTACAATCGGCCAACGCTGGTGATATGATGGAGTGCCTGATAGAGCACAAGAACGAGCCTGACGTACGCAGCAACTACAAGTGTCGCTCATCCATCGAACACCATCAGCTGATCTCCCTCAGTGACTACCACTTCACCGTCAAGTTCAAGGAGGCTTGTCGTATCCATGTCGCACGTTACTGTCCGTCTGCTCGGACTAAGGCTAAGGTGCGCTGCGAAGAATATTTATTATGTTTATTTTAGTATCATATTTTTCAGTCAGGTTTTTTAGTTAGGCTTGTGGTATCAGTTTTAAATCGTAGGTAGCTATTGTTCGATTTGTGTTGATTTTTTTAAAAATAATCTTGGACTATTTTTACTCTGGGTCAGGACAAAATACCTTCAGGTTTCAGGCCAAAATTTGGGTTGCTTTAGAAAGAACTGCTTTTTTAAATGTTGATTATTTTACAGCTCTACAATCAGGTTTAAACGTCTTCTGCAATAGTAGAAAACTCAGAAACATCTTCTGCAGTTGCAAGAAAATCAAGAGCGTAAAGTAATAACACTTGAATCAATCTATTATAATTCAATCTTGACAGTTAACAACATCATACAATACTATACAATGGAAGAATATGTAGGGTAGAATAAATTATATTTTAAAATATTGTTCCATTAGCAGCTATCTCGTTGTGTAGGTGGTGGAGTGCCTCAGTGAGATAGTGCGTAACGACACCATCTCAGACTCACGCCACAGAGTACCTCGGGACTGTAGACAACAGCTGAAGACACAACTATTGCAGCAGAGAGAGAACATTGACCTGGACCCCAAACTGAGGGAGATGTGTGGCAGTGACATAGAGAAGCTCTGTGGACATGTCAAACATGAGAACGCTCAGGTGAGTTACCAAACTGAGGGAGATGTGTGGCAGTGACATAGACAAGCTCTGTGGACATGTCAAACATGAGAACGCTCAGGTGAGTTACCAAACTGAGGGAGATGTGTGGCAGTGACATAGACAAGCTCTGTGGACATGTCAAACATGAGAACGCTCAGGTGAGTCACCAAACTGAGGGAGATGTGTGGCAGTGACATAGAGAAGCTCTGTGGACATGTCAAACATGAGAACGCTCAGGTGAGTTACCAAACTGAGGGAGATGTGTGGCAGTGACATAGACAAGCTCTGTGGACATGTCAAACATGAGAACGCTCAGGTGAGTTACCAAACTGAGGGAGATGTGTGGCAGTGACATAGACAAGCTCTGTGGACATGTCAAACATGAGAACGCTCAGGTGAGTCACCAAACTGAGGGAGATGTGTGGCAGTGACATAGAGAAGCTCTGTGGACATGTCAAACATGAGAACGCTCAGGTGAGTCACCAAACTGAGGGAGATGTGTGGCAGTGACATAGAGAAGCTCTGTGGACATGTCAAACATGAGAACGCTCAGGTGAGTCACCAAACTGAGGGAGATGTGTGGCAGTGACATAGAGAAGCTCTGTGGACATGTCAAACATGAGAACGCTCAGGTGAGTCACCAAACTGAGGGAGATGTGTGGCAGTGACATAGAGAAGCTCTGTGGACATGTCAAACATGAGAACGCTCAGGTGAGTCACCAAACTGAGGGAGATGTGTGGCAGTGACATAGAGAAGCTCTGTGGACATGTCAAACATGAGAACGCTCAGGTGAGTCACCAAACTGAGGGAGATGTGTGGCAGTGACATAGAGAAGCTCTGTGGACATGTCAAACATGAGAACGCTCAGGTGAGTCACCAAACTAAGGGAGATGTGTGGCAGTGACATAGTGAAGCTCTGTGGACATGTCAAACATGAGAACGCTCAGGTGAGTCACCAAACTGAGGGAGATGTGTGGCAGTGACATAGAGAAGCTCTGTGGACATGTCAAACATGAGAACGCTCAGGTGAGTCACCAAACTGAGGGAGATGTGTGGCAGTGACATAGAGAAGCTCTGTGGACATGTCAAACATGAGAACGCTCAGGTGAGTCACCAAACTGAGGGAGATGTGTGGCAGTGACATAGAGAAGCTCTGTGGACATGTCAAACATGAGAACGCTCAGGTGAGTCACCAAACTGAGGGAGATGTGTGGCAGTGACATAGAGTGGCTCCGTGGACATGTCAAACATGAGAACGCTCAGGTGAGTCACCAAACTGAGGGAGATGTGTGGCAGTGACATAGAGAAGCTCTGTGGACATGTCAAACATGAGAACGCTCAGGTAAGTCACCAAACTGAGGGAGATGTGTGGCAGTGACATAGAGAAGCTCTGTGGACATGTCAAACATGAGAACGCTCAGGTGAGTCACCAAACTGAGGGAGATGTGTGGCAGTGACATAGAGAAGCTCTGTGGACATGTCAAACATGAGAACGCTCAGGTGAGTCACCAAACTGAGGGAGATGTGTGGCAGTGACATAGAGAAGCTCTGTGGACATGTCAAATGAGAACGCTCAGGTGAGTCACCAAACTAAGGGAGATGTGTGGCAATGACATAGAGTGGCTCTGTGGGCATGTCAAACATGAGAACGCTCAGGTGAGTCACCAAACTGAGGAAGATGTGTAGCAGTGACATAGAGTGGCTCTGTGGACATGTCAAACATGAGAACGCTCAGGTGAGTCACCAAACTGAGGAAGATGTGTAGCAGTGACATAGAGTGGCTCTGTGGACATGTCAAACATGAGAACGCTCAGGTGAGTCACCAAACTGAGGAAGATGTGTAGCAGTGACATAGAGTGGCTCTGTGGACATGTCAAACATGAGAACGCTCAGGTGAGTCACCAAACTGAGGAAGATGTGTAGCAGTATAAAATTTTGTAACAAACGTAACTTGTTTTTGTTTCAAAATTTTGTTATTGCATAGCTACACTTTATAGGACCTATTTATAGGAGAGAATCAAATTGAACAATCAAAAACAGCTGGCTTCTTAGGGGTGAGGCTGGATGATAGACTCGGATGGGGCGAGCACATTTATGGATTAGAGAGGTCGCTTGCTCAAGTACTATTCATTCTACGTAGGATGAGGTCATACGGCAGCGATGCTCTGTCCAGGCTTGTCTATCACGGACTGTTCGAGCAGTACATTTCATATTCTATCATTTTGTGGGGTTCTTCCACCAAAAAGAATTTGGAAACAGTTTTTGTCTGGCAAAAAAAGCAATAAGGACCATCCTAGGCATGCCACCAGATGCCAGCTGCAGAGATGCATTCATCCAGCTTGGACTCTTGACTGCCCCTTGCATATTCATCTACGAAGCAGTAGTATATATAAAATCACAAAACATTCAACCTCATTTCATAGATCACAAATACAACACTAGAAACAAAGGAATCCATGCTCAACAACACAGACTAAAATTGTTTAAACAAAAACCTCATTATTCCGGTTTAAAAAATTTTCAGGCACTGCCAAAAAAACTTCAAAACATTAAAAAAATCTCAAAATTCAAAACAGAAATCAAATCTTTCCTGACAAAAAATGGTTTTTATGATGTGGAAGAATTTCTAAATTTCACAAAACAGAGCCCTTTGTCCTAGGATGTGATTTTCTTATTATACAGTAAGTTATTTTTTATTATTATTAAACCTTAACCTATTGACCTGTCCAATTCCTGCCCTGGACTATGGACGGAAACTACAAGTATTACAAGTAAGTAAGTAAGTAAGTATACCGATCGGCGATCATACGTTATACTGATCATCTACTCTGAATAACGTTTATTAACTTGTTTTAGGTTTTGGAATGCTTGGAGGAAAAGAAGAAGAACTTGAGTGCCAGTTGTCATAGGCGCATATTCAACATCGAGTTGCAAGATTTCACGGACAGCTCCACTGACTATACCCTGCTGACGTCCTGCAAGCCGATGATGAGACTTTATTGCCAGCAATACGACAAGTCACAGGCCCTCTCTTGTCTTAAGGTGGGCTTTTGTTAAAAACAATACAAAAAAGTTTTGTTTGGAAAAAGGTTGTTAGGTTAGGTCGAGGTTAACAGAATGATCTTGGGTATTTAAATAATTGACAGTCCAATCAATACCAGTTCTGGAAAGCCACTGACACTTCACCACCATTAGCCAGAGTATACAAGATTGCCGTTATCTTAATTTATCATTCATCTACATTGATTATTAATTTGTTAATAATTATTTTTACTAATTAATCTTCAAGTTGAGGCCTTTCCTCAGCTGCCTGTATTCAGAACTTACACTACCTAGATAATTACTTTGAATATTTTGAATGTCTTCAGAAACACAAAGACGAAGGAGGGTTTGACAGCAAGTGCCGGCTGGTGGTGATGAGACGGATGATAGAGCAGTCAACAGACTACAGGTTCAATCCCCTGCTGGCCGTCGGTTGCCGCATGGACATAGACAAGTTCTGTCACGCTGTAGTGGATCATCAACCCAGGGACCAGGAGCTTCAGGGAAAAGTCATCAAGTGTCTTAAGGTAGAGTGTCTGATAGCAAAGTAAAGAATTGGCTATGTTATATAATACGCCCCTTGTTGTAAATTGAGAAACAGTGGGTCTGTTAGCTCAAGTGAATTAAATCATTATCTCCAGGTTGTTTTCAAAGTGTTTGTTTCATTCCATAAGCAGACTCAACAATTAATAAAAAACCAAATAAAAATGCAGTAGAACTACAACCGCCCAAATCAATTAGGACCGTTAGGTTTTTACTGAAATTTGGGATATTTCATAGAAAATACTTGATTGAGTCCATGAAATACATAGTAGATGTATGCGGTTTGAGCTTAGCCTAAAATCTCGACTGATCGAGGACCAAGAAAAAAATGTAGAAGAGAAGATTTCATGATTAAAAAATCACATGATAGCTGTGTCTGCAAACGATAATGATAAAGTTTCGGTATCCGCAGGAGATTTTCGTTCACATACGACTGTGGGAAATGTTCATGATCTTTCTGCATTCACGGCTTCTGCCTTCTATGACAACAATTGTGTGTTATTTTGCACAACTTTTTACTGTAGTTTTAGGTTTTAAAATGATTTATGTAAGTGATTCAAATAGTTGGCGATTCGGTTGTTGGAGTTTGGGTAATTGGAGCACAACGGTAATTAAAAACTTTGGACATCTAGGAATTATGTGAACTCAGCCTTATCATCATGTGTCTGCCAAGATCAGTAACTGGACGACTAGAGTTGTTATTCTGTCGCTCGTTCTGATGCTAGCTAGGTAGTAAAGTGAATCCTTTATCCTGCTCTCGGGAGTTTGGAAATTTCATGTGCTAAAGATATTTTTATAAAGGTAGGAAACGTTTGCAAATGTGGTGTATAACTAAATACAATATGCTTAGTTTGTTACAACGTAGCTTGCCATATTATGATTTTCATTTAGATTGATTTTCCTTTGACCAAATTATAAAATTGTATCAATTTAATCAAAATTTCCAGCTAAGTTCTGACCAGGGAATAACTGTACAGTTATTACTATTTAATTTTAATTTTTATTTGTTCAGGCAAAGTTCAGAGAAGGTAAGCTGCGCAACGAGTGTGAGGCTCAGATGGCCAATGTCCTACGTGAGGCTGCACTTGACTACAAACTGAACCCATTGTTGAAAACTCTGTGTCAAGACGAGGTACTGTTATTTTAGTTGATCAATTATGCAATCAGTATCATGTAAATAGTGCTTTTAAGTTATCATTTAGAAAAAAAAAACTGATGGACATCAGACCTACACAAATTTTTAAATTTACTTTACTAAATGTGTTCAATTATGTTCTGAATCCAGAAATTATAATTATTTTTCGGTACTTCAGTATTAAACGGAGGCCACATTTTGTCAGCGCGCTGCGGCGGTTATGTTAGGTTGGGTTATCATAATAGAAAGTATCGTTCGATTAATAACGATGCGAGGAAAGTCCTACACACATAATATTTACGATAACCCAACCTAACATAACCGCCGCAGCGCGCTGACAAAATGTGGCCTCCGTTTAATACTGAAGTACCTATTTTTCTTAGAAAAGTCTGGGTAGTCTATTAGCATAGCACTTATCGGCCATAAGTCTGTTGACTGGCAGTTTTAAGAGTTTTAAATAAAAAAAACATGTATATATATTTATAGTCTCGCATAACAATGCTTAGAACATTCAATTTCAAACTCTTGATCAACAAATGAGTCAATCTCCTAATGTATGACCATTGACTGCAGATCAACAAGCTGTGTTATGACAAGGACGATGGAAAGGGAGGTACAGAAGAGTGTCTGAAGGTAGCACTACTTAGAGGCCACATCAGCAGTAGGGCCTGCAAACTGGAAGTGGCTGGCCTCATAGAGGAGGCCAAGGCGGACATACACGTAGACCCTCTGTTGCACAAGGCCTGCAGTCTTGACCTCAACAAGTTCTGCTTCGACGTGGAACAAGGCGCAGGCAGACGTTAGTAACTTGTGTTTGGTAGATTGACTTTAGATACTGAAGTTTATATCCAATCTATATGGACTATCTGTAGCCTATTTATTATTCAAAAGGAACATAGTTCATGAGCCACTCACAGAATGCTTGGTTTTACTTTCTCCCCCTATACATAGTATATGGAGAAAGTATTGTTTTTGTCAAAATTTTCGAGTTTGAGTTTTGAGAAGATATATCCGTTTTGGGGCCCCCTGAACAACCCAAAAAAGTGGTTTTCGAAGTGATGTCTGTGTGTGTGGATGTGTACAGAGCTACAGACCAGACCTGTAGTCCGATTTTGATAAAATTTGGTATGTAAGTACTAATCCATGGTATCACCAGGCGTTTATTTAATTTTTTCAAAATTTTGATTTTTAATGGTGATTTTTTCATAAAAACCCATAAAATAACAGAAAAATCACATTCTCTCAAAAATGGCCTGAACGATTTTAATCAAAATTGAGTATGTAATAGTTCTTTGAATACTAAACAAAATGGTACAAATCCCATTTCCGTAAAAATTGCGGTTCAAAAGCTATTTTCCCATAAAAAACCAGAAAATAACATAAAAAAAACTTGTTTTGATTAAAGTTAATGTGTTTTGGGCCTTATAATTCTAAACAAAGTAGTGAAACCCCCCACTGCTGAAACAAGTAAGTTACGGTTCAAAAGTGTTTGCAACTTTTGTGAATTTCCCTTTAAAATATCATAGTTAGGCCTACTCCCACCACTTAAACCCATGCTAAAGGTTGTTGACAAGCTAGTGAAAAAGTATGTGTCGGATTGCTGAAACCGTTTATTGATTTTAGTGCTGAGATGTTTGATTTGACATAAAAAATATGCTATAGCTTACACTAGTTATCCTATTAATTTGGATTCTTAAAAAAAATGGCATATTTCTACATGGCATCTCTGTCAGTGGTTCAATTCAACTACTTCCATTTTCATCAAAAATTGGGGACAACTTTAACATGGAGTTGAATGTCTAGTTCTACCAATAGTCAAAGATACATATGCAGTAACTAATTAATTATAAACACAATTAGAATGTGACTAATTTGAGTTGCAACACAAATAATCCATTCATCTTGTCAAAATCTAATAAAAAGGTTAAATACCTGTAGTACTGTCAGTGAGCCTGGATTTTGGTCAGCGACCCAGGTTTTGAACCTAAAGATTCATTTTCAATCTGATACCATAGTTAAAACACATTCCAAACACACACGTCCTCTTTATAACTGGGAAGAGTCGTTAAACACACGAAACACAAACACGAAAACACTAAACATCAAACAAAATGTCAATATCTGACTGAACTGTTCACCATAATTTTACGTTGGCCTCTGTGCTTGTGATATAAATTAGTCATCAGCTGTTTGATATTGTGAACATTTTTATTTGTTTATCTTTGGATGATTTTTATTGATTCTTGTTGTCATGGAGAAATCAATATTTACCAGAGTTGGATTGTTCTGATGTGTGGAAAATGTTAGTTTGTTAAAGCATTAAATATCTTAATTATTTTTTTTAATTTGCATGTTGATTTAATTACAAGCTATTTCGGCATTATGTCAGGTACTGGTGTTAAGTTCTCAGATTTGATTAAGCAGTATGATGGAAGTGGTGATTTTAGTGAGTGGTTAAAGAAACTAGAATTGGTATGTAAGCTCCAAAAGGTGAAAGACTTGCAGACAGTTCTCCCCCTATTTTTGGCTGGAGGAGCATTTTCTGTATATGACGGGCTAGCAGAAAATGTAAAGAGTAACTATGAGGCTCTCACCAATGCATTGCTGCAGGCCTTTTCTGCGAACTGTTTTCAGGCTTATGCAGAATTTACAGCTAGGCGTCTACTTCCCGGTGAGTCACTAGATGTATATGCTTCTGATTTGAAGAGACTGGCAAAATTGGTGGACCCTTTTGTATCTGATGAGTGGATTAAGAGCGCAGTTGTACATGGCTTGCCAGAAGATACTCAAACCCAGTTGAAAGCTGCGTGTTCTCTTCAAAGCATGGAGTTGTCGGATGTAATGACAAGAGCTAGGAATCTGTTGGGCAGTGAGTCAAACTTTGGGGCGGTTGCACAGGCTAATGCCAAAGTTTTAAAAGTTGGTAAACAGTGGTCTAAAAAATGCTTTGTTTGTGAGAGGGAAGGCCACGTAGCACGTTCGTGTCCCCATCTAAATCGTGAGTCAAAAGTAACCTGTTACCGGTGTGGGGAGGTAGGACATTATGCCTCAAAATGTTCACAAATTCCAAAAAACGAGTGAATGGGGCTGCCTTATGTTGCGCGGGTGGCCCAATTTCTTCAGCGCAACTCCCTACATTAACAATAAGTGTGTCGGGTTTTAAATGCTGTGCCTTGCTGGACTCAGGTTGTTCAAGGAGCATTGTGTCACCTAGTTTAGTGAAATATGGAGTAGAACTGAAGCCAGTAAGTCAAAGGATTATAATGATGAATGGAGAATCAGTTGAGTGTAACATGACATGTATGTTACAAGTTTTGATAAGAGGTGTTCCGCTCAAACTGAGTTGCTTGGTTGCCAGTGTATTGCCAAGGTATCAGATGCTTCTAGGGATGGATGCAGTGACTGCAATGGGAGGTGTCACTATTGATGGAGATGGCACTATTACGTTCAGGGACGTTGGTATCGGAGCGATGGCTGAGGCCAAGAAGGAGCTGTGCGTGAAGGAAACCTCGGAGAATGGCAACGATGAGATCGCTATTAATGATTGTGACTTTAATGCGAAATTTGTTGATGGAAAATGGACTGTTGAATGGAATTGGAAAGATGGCGGTAAAACACCTAAGATAAATAACCAAGTACCTTCATACTCAATTTCAAAAGAGGCAAGGGAGGCGTTTGACGCTGAAGTGCATGATTGGATAAGAGACGGTTGGCTCCAGCCTTATGACGGGGAGTTTGATGGCTTAATTCCTTTAATGGCGGTCGTGCAACATAACAAGGACAAAGTGCGACCTGTAATGGATTACAGGGAATTAAATCAGTATGTTTCAAGCCATACAGCAGAAAGTGAGGTTTGTGGGGAAAAGCTAAGGATGTGGAGAAAGCTAGGAGAACATGTGAGCACTATCGACCTTCGTAAGGCATATCTCCAAATCCATATTGCTCCTCATTTATGGAAATTCCAAGTGGTCCGATTTAAGGATAAGAATTATTGTCTAACACGACTCGGGTTTGGTCTAAATGTCGCACCGAAAATAATGAGCAAAATTGTTAATAAAGTGCTGTCAATGGACCCAATAGTCCGAAGTGCTACGGACTCTTATGTTGACGACATAGTGGTGAATGAGAACATTGTTGACGGTGATGTAGTAAAGAAGTTGTTGGAAAAATATGGGCTGTCAGCGAAACCAGTGGAGCCACTTGATGGAAGTAGGGTTTTGGGGCTTAACGTCTCAAAAAGAGATGGCAAGTTGATGTGGACCAGAGACAACAAGATAAAAGCTTTGGATAAAATTGAGACCAAGAGGGATGTGTACTCCTTGTGTGGGCAGTTAATCGGACATTTCCCGGTGGCTGGTTGGCTTCGACCAGCATGCAGTTTTCTTAAGAGGCAATTGACAGATTTGAAATGGGACGATGTGGTGGGCAACCGAATCAAGATAATGTTAGGAGATATAATGGAAAGCGTAAAAGAAAAGGATCCTGTGTTTGGAAAATGGGCAGTGTCATCTAGTGACAAAGGAACTGTGTGGTATGATGCTAGCAGCTTGGCGATCGGTATTTGCATTGAAATTGATGGTGAAATAGTTGAGGACGCGTCTTGGCTAAGGAAAGAAGATGATTCGGCGCATATTAACTTAGCTGAGTTAGAGGCTTTGTTGAAAGGAGTGAACTTAGCTTTGAAATGGAATTTGAAGGAGTTATACTTGGTCACAGATTCGGCCACCGTTTATGCTTGGGTAACATCCATATTAACAGGAGACCGACGTATTAAAACACATGGGATGGGTGAAGCTCTTGTAAGAAGACGGTTGGGTTTGTTAAAAGACCTCATATCAGAATGTGGCCTTAAGGTGAGGATGGATCTGGTTAAATCGCAATTTAACAAAGCAGATCGCCTGACGAGAGTTCCTAAAAAGTGGTTGGCAAGAGAGGAGGAAAAGACCAGTATTGCAATGATGGGTGAAGAAGAGGATGAGGATAAACAAAAGTTGGTCAAAAGAATCCATGGTCTGCATCACTTTGGTGTTAATCGAACTCTTTTCACAGTTAGGCGTTGTTACCCGGCCGTTGAGTTTAGTAAACAGGACGTTGACTGCGTAGTCAAATCATGCAAAGAATGTTTATCTGTTGATCCATCCCCCATCAAATGGAAGCCGGGGCACTTGGATTGCGACAAGAATTGGCACAGGCTTGCGATTGATGTGACTCATTATGGGTCATATAAATTTCTTACAATTATAGATTGTGGTCCAAGTCGGTTTTGCATTTGGCGACGGATCCCAAGTGAGACTAAAGAACAGGTAGTAAAAATCTTACTTGAACTGTTTTCAGAACGAGGTCCACCCCAAGAACTATTAATGGACAATAGTGCAACATTCAGATGTGAACAAATTGAACAACTGTGTGAGGAATGGGGGGTTATCCGTCGTTTTAGGTGTGTGAACCGTCCGTCCGGCAATGGAATCGTTGAACGAAACCATAGAACGATAAAGAGAATGGCAACAAGAACCAGAAGAAGTGTTCAAGAAATGGTATATTGGTATAATCTAACACCAAAAGAAGATTTGAATGAAGAGTCGACACCAAGCTCTAGATTGTTCTGCTACAGGTGGAGGTGTAAGGGCGAACCTGTAAATTGTGACGAGCAACTAAGAACTGAGTTTTCACCTGATGAACCTGTGTTTGTCAAGCCTAAAAATTCCTTATGTACTACGAGATGGAAGCCTGGTGTGGTCTCACGGCAGCTCTCACAAACCAGCGTAGAGGTTGATGGTATGCCACACCATATTGCTGATGTTCGTCGTGCTGGTGTTGACACCACGGGGGCGTGTGCTTGTGATATAAATTAGTCATCAGCTGTTTGATATTGTGAACATTTTTATTTGTTTATCTTTGGATGATTTTTATTGATTCTTGTTGTCATGGAGAAATCAATATTTACCAGAGTTGGATTGTTCTGATGTGTGGAAAATGTTAGTTTGTTAAAGCATTAAATATCTTAATTATTTTTTTTAATTTGCATGTTGATTTAATTACAGCCTCTGCGACCAATCGTTTAACGCAACAGACATGGGATTCACACTTTTTATTGCCATGATTCCATACTATCAGACCCTTAAATTTCCATTCCTGAGAAGTTACAAAATACTAGAACTAGTAATATTTGAACTATTCAAAAATATTATAAAATGTTTTCTTTTCTTTTTCAGAAATCCAGTGTTTACTGAATGTTATGGCCCAGCACAAATATTTGCAGTCAGAGTGTGAAAAAATGTTACATCAAAGAATGGAAATGTTCAAGAATGCTGATGCCCAGGTATTATACTTTATAATAAATTTTGAAATTGTGGCATGGATCAGTTGTAATGTAATGTAAGCTGTGTATGTAGCGTGGTTCATACAATTGTTTATAATATGACAACAATCAAAGAAAGAAACACACTTTCAATCATGTAAAATACTTCAATTGGTTCTATGTTTATACTCACAACTCCCGACAAATAACCTGTTAGTAAGTGGGCCTAGTAGTTGCATCTAATCAGAACCTAGGTTGAAACGTTGTTTCTCCTTGTTCAAATAATATTTAAATACAAAAACAATTTCATTTTGTGTTTTGCCTTCCAAATTACTTCTCAATAATATTACAGTAATATTACAAAAACAATATCTAAGTTAGGATGATTTCACTTCAAGAAAATGTGATAATGCAGCCTATGTTATAGAGTTTAAAGTATTGTTTTGTCAAGATTATTTGCCACTTGCCCTGGTTTAGAACTGAACCCTCAAAACGCAAGCAAATTTGCATCTTAGTCACACTAGTTTACCCTCAATGTCCTAGGATGTTCTCATAAAAAGTAATAATAATAGTCCTTTCATTATACAGTCCAACCTTGATATAACGAACCTCAGTATAACTTATTCCTTGATTTAATATAGCGATTTTTTTAACCCTTCATGGTGATTCATTGGTTACGTGGTGCGAGCGCCGTGTGGGCCGAGCGCCGGGTGGGGTGAGCGCCGCGCGGACTTCCCCCTATGTTGTGACAGTTTTGACAGCAATAATCAACTGTACTGTACACTTATAATTGTCAAATTATCCATGTTGTGGATAACTGTGTCCGTATATGCGAGATTTTGAAACCTTTTATTAACTTAGTGTTTTAGAGCGTTCTTATACCTAATTATAATAGCATAAAAGTTTGCTATTAACCTAACCTAACCTAACCAAACCAAACCAAACCTAACATAACAGCTAGCTCTCCGAACTTGGACATGTGCCGCGGGGGACCCGAAGTGACCACCACGTAGAGTGGGATAAGCCCTACCACAGAGGCATGTGTTAACCTCGTCACTTTATTGAGCAGACCCTTACAGGAGTTATGGCTTCGGCGCTTGCACTACTAAATTAGCCGCGGCGCTCGCCCCACCCGGCACTCGCAACACGACACCGATTCATGGGTGTTAATGATTTTAAACCACAATCGGTGACACACAGAGTTTTTCTCTGGGTGTTGAAACATTAGGCAAATAATGTTTTTTATACATATTAATTAATACAAAGCAAATAAATCCATGTATAATCAATACAATTTTAACATGAAATCAAGAAAAACTCTTACTTTACATATTAATAGAAATATATAGCTAACAAAAACAACACAACAACACCAATGGTGACTCACGGAGCCCGGCTCCATGCTACGAGACTCTTCAGGCTTCAAATGATTAATAGGGGTGTTGTGGGGGAGGTGTGAGATAAAAAAAATGTATAATTGGTTCATAGAAAGATGCTTGTGAGATATTTTTCTATAAAAACATTCAACAGTCATGACGCAACATTCACCGGCGCCTGTCTCGCGTGTTTGTCACTTTGTCACTTGGCCAAGTTTGTTAAATTCGTGTATTTAAATGTTTTCTTATTTATGTTTTCTGTGTAATATTTATTTCGACAAAATCATCCACGGATGACAGCTATTTTATCTTGACGCTCTACAACCTGAAGATGTGCCCTGGCGGCATGAAACAGCTGTAGTTATCACTTACTACACAAGGATCGTTCGACGCAAAAGGTAACCTAAAGCATTTTATATTGCAATTTTCGATCCAGAGGCTAACCCATCATGAAAGTCTTGATTTGCAGCATAGCAAGCTAAGGCTTTTGAATATAGCTTTTTTATTGTGTATATGTTGTATAGTTGAGTTTTATATTTATTTATTTTCAACAAATGTCATTTTTGTTGAAAATGTCTTTCATTTGGTATACAGTCACTTTTAACTCCGACCAATGGTTAACGAGATTGTAGCCAAAAACAAAAAAGTGCCTTGTTTTCACTAATAGCCGCTAGAGCTCAACTCATAATTATGGGGACTTGGTATAATTTTCCCTAGGTACTTAGAAATAAGTGTGCAAAGTTTCAAAACTTTCGGATCTTTCCGGAGGTTAAACCTTTTTTTGACTGGACTATTAAGATTTCTCACATAAGGTTTGTTTCCAGATTGGTGCTCAGCCTCAAAACGTTGGTGATTTGATTGTGCAAGTGTCAAATTCACCATCGAGACGCTACTTTATCCTAGTGACGCTCACTTTTGTGGGGATGGTCTTCATCATAGGAATGTTCTTTGGAAGAGTTACAAGAAGAACAATAATGAAGAACAAGTGATGTCCTAAAATGTCCACCATGTCTGTTTCTTGGAATGGTGATCATGTCCTAAAAATATGACCAAATTCTGTAATTTATTTTGCAGATTTTAGGTAAAGTTTTATTTTAATGTACATAGTTATCTTATTAGCTCAGGAGATGTACTCATAGAGGTCTAACAGATGGTTTATTGTATAGAAATGATTATATATATGTTAGCTTTTGAACAGAATCAAACTAATTATTAAGATTAAGGTATACTATGGCGTTTAAACTTGTGTATTTTATTGTAGCTTTTTCATTATTACTATACATATTGATTAACTGTTGGTGTAGATTTGATATTAATGACATATTGAATTTATTTGTATCATTCATGAATAATGACTATTATTGCACAACTTTTTTATAAAACCTTAAAAAATATTATGTACCTGAATTGACCATGCTTTGCTGCCATAATTTTGCTCTGATGTAGGCAGTTCTTTAGCCAAGTATAATATAAGGACGAGATTGAGATGCACCGTAGCATCGTTGACATGACAAGCTTTTCATTTTTCAAGAACGTTGATGAGTTAGTAAACTAATGTGACTGACACTATGTTGAATATTTAAATGCAACAACGAATGAAGAATTAATACGAGGAAAGTTTTATGATCGATTTATCTGCTGATTTTCTATCCAAGATTAATTTTGTCCCAATAGGTGAAGACAGCATTGAATCTTGAAAATAAATTTATAGTCCTATTAATAAAGTTGGCACATATAGATAGGATAGGTTATAATCTTAAGTATCAACAAGTGAATGTTTTTTTCCAGTTGTAAATTGTAACCACTGATAAAAACAATATTGTTGAATATAGCAACCTTTTTACAATCTTACACGGCAGCTTTGTGGCGCCTAGCAGAAAGATCAAATAGAGGAGTAGGATGTGGACACAAGGGCCTAGTCTTAAGGGTTTTTGTTAAATTTTCCATTCATGAAAGCCTGCTATCCTTTCAAAAATCCTTGAAAGATCGATTAATAGGCCTATAGATGTATTTATCAATATTTATCTTCTTATATTTAACATACCCAGTAATGAGTCACACTATTGAAAAATGTATAAATAATAAGCATTTTAACTTGAGAATACTCTCAGTGGCAAGTTGAATTTTGTTCTCTTTTGAATCTAGAACTGGAATAACTTTGTCGCTATGTGCAACTCTATTCTTGTTTCAATATCTAGTATATAGCTATTAATAATAATGATTAAAAATATAGTGATCCTAAACAAGATTCATTTTTTAACTGGGTTTTTTATTTTCTAATAACCATTTTTTTTACAAAATTTGAGTCGTAACAATCAATCCACTGCCCTATATTGTGCAAACTCATCAGTTTCCATCGAAAATCATTATAATTTCTATGATTTGAGCCTATATGGTTTATTATGTAGGAAATTAGTGTAATTCAATTTATGCCTCCTTTGTATTTATATAGCCTACTTTTTTAATATATTATGTTTAACATTCAACAACATTGATGTTGTCTTTGAGAATTTATGTATTCCTGCTATATTTGTAAATAAAATGTTAAAAATATAGTACTATTTTTATAATTTATGTATACAAGTGATATTACATGTAAGTAAGGCTATAACTATAATCGTTGCTATGTGTATTATATAGATAAGCAATAAACTAACTGCACAGTAAATTTGAATATTTTGTTGTTATTGTTACCTTTAGAAACCAAGAAAAGCTTTATAATAACTGATTTTGATTCAGTGAAATTTACATGATGTTTTGTGAACAGTTTACCTGTTTAAAACATTTTTCATATTTTATTACAGGACATGAAATGCCCACTCTTATGTTATGGCAATGTAAGAATGAGCTCTTTACTCTCATCAGCAAACTCAAGTCTAACCTATGGCAAAAAGTCAAAATAAAATCAAAATATAGTTTTACTTTTAAAAAGTTACATGAAAATTGATAATAAAGATAAAAGAATGGAAACAGAGAAAAAAAATTCTTTGAAATCAATGGTTAAGAAGAGATCAATATTAAAAATAAAAGTACAGAATTGAAAATAAAAAAAATAAGAATTAAAAATCTATATCTGTACATTTTAAGGAGTCAATATTGTCATAGTCCAGTAACCAAGCTTTTGTAAATACACAAATACCATAAATAAGGATTAATTAATAAGGATTTGATAATGGGTGTTTTGTACCCGAAACTAGTCATCCATAGACTGTTAATTTAGACTGAAGACGGAACAAGGTAGTTTTAATGGGTAGATCAGTAATAATGATATTGGAGCCATAAAAGTCAATAAGTTTGTTCTTTAGATGTATAGTAGTAGGCTATATCCATATAAAAAGGTCAAGTGACGAGACCACCCCCCCCCCCCCCCCCCCCCAATGTGCCAGGCCGAGTTGAACGCTTCCGAATCATACCGAAAATAGGCGAGGTCCTTTATAACACCGTGTATCGTCTGTCTGGAACGGCATCAGAGCAATTTCTTCCAATCCCTCTTTAAACACTGATAGGAACTGAGTAGCCATTTAATGATGTTATGTAATTAATTAAGTATTATGAATTATTTGTAGACTAATTATTAACAGTTTCAAATACCTATATATAAGTCAAACTAATCCTTTGATCTTCCTCAATATATAATATCCTTATCAAAAAATTCTCCTTTGTATCCTGGAAAATAAATTATGAAAATCAATCTACCGATATTTAGGCAAACATTCTAAATAAATATTGAAACATACTTTATAGTTAAATGCAATATGTGAAAATATTTTTTTTTTTACTTTTGTATAAACAATGTTAACAAGTCAGTAGATATATATTTTTAAACATATACCTCATTCTAATTACCTACTGTTCTATCTATCCGTACTATATCTATCCTACTATATCTATATCTATCTATACTATCTCTATCCGTAGTATTATCTAAATTTATTGACCAAATAAATAAATGTATAATAACAATTAATAAAATAATATTGTAACTATGTTACTCGTTATTTCCTTCTTTATAATAAAAATATAGAAAAAAAATATGCCATTCCAAATATACAGGTAGGCCTATATAGAGCCATGAACAAAAATAGTAATTTATGCCCAATGTTAAATTACTGGAGATCTTCAAAACTTATTTCTTCTACAAATAATTCAACAAATATATTTAGATTTATTTACATAGATCTATTTACAATCTCCTTCACCTTGGAAACTGGAACGTAACAATTTAATGTTTGGCCTATTATGAGGACCCGGGCGTTTTGACAGCAATAGCGACGGTTCAGCTATGCTCTGTACGATTCGGAAGTGTTCATCACTGCGCGGTGGTGGAAATTGTTCCTCCAGAGAAGGTCTCGTTGCAGGATAATCAAATTTATGATTTTTGATTGAGTAATACAGTATCTTGAGCTTAAATGATTCAAACAATCAATAGCTCAAATTAAATCCTATAATTTTCTGATTAATTAGAGACTAAAACATATAGAAAAACATTAACAATACTGGAGCTTTGATTTTTACACATAGTAAAACCTTATGAAAAATAATTTTTATGTTGGTTGTTCACCTTGCGTTTGCTTGAAACTTGTCTGATTTGAATAACTAATAGCTTAAGAAAGCCAGTATTTCACTGAAGGTTCTTAGATTAATATATATATAGGATTGTAAAATTATAACTGGTGAAGGTACATCTTAAATTGAAGAGTTAGAAAATAAATCACATCATGTGTTTCGGTTGAGTAGTACAGTAGGTAAATATTTGCCGATGCTTTATGTGAAAACTTGGCATGCATGCCTTCAATTTGAGACCTCGATCGGGTAGAAGAGCCAAACGAACTCGGATAAACCAAATTTAACTCCCATAAGAAATACATGGAGAGCAAATTTTGTTTACGTATATGCTGAGTGGGTTTATAGATAAATATGCTTGATGGCAAATCTGTACGTGCATACCTTCAATTTGAGACCTCAATCATGAAAATCGGTCGGGTAGAAGAGCCAAACGAACTCGGAAAAGAAAAGCCAAGTTTTTTTTAATATATAAGATTCACCCCCTCCCCCCTTTTTTCTTTATACCGGAAGAAGCACACAGGGGACGGTAGCGGACTTTTAGGAAATGGTCAAGGATATCATAAAGAACATCTGTGCCAAAATTCAGCTTTATATCTCGCATTTCCGGTTTCCATGATTTTTTACCTAGATTGACTGGGCTATTCATCGCTGATACGAGAATCGTGTGAACTTCAACCTTTGTTTCCGCCGCAGTTGTGGTTTTGGATTCGGTGAAGATTAAAGGAAATAAACGATCTCGTAGAGGGTTTTCTTTCAGAGGAAATCCTATCTTTCTACAGTGCGTTGTTTCGGATTTTTATCCGATTTTTGAAATCTAATGTTTCTTTTCTCGTGCTCCTTTTCCTACTCTGTTTAAGAATTGGATGGGTAAATGAAACAAATTACATGTATACTTGCGACTAGCACTTGGTGTAACCAAGTTGTGAAATTGAAATTAGTACCCATATAAAATATTTGAAGACCGTGTATGAAATCCATGCTGCGTTACAAACATGGTAATATTAATGAACACAAAGATATCTTGGATAATTTATGTACCTTCCTATCAGATAGTCATGCGGTTGAGCGGAGGCAATTTTAAGGTATGTTTCTGCAATTTTAAGGTATGTTTCTGTTCGCAGTAATCGCAGTGTCTGGGTTTTGTATAGTTTGTGTAAAGACTATTAAACCAGGAAATATTAGACCTTAAATAATATGGTTTCAAACCAAGCTTCTCAATAATTATTAGAAGCGTAACTTATGTTGAATTAACCCAAAATTTGCAGAAAACGTTTGCCCGACATCAGTAGGTACACTTGAACATACTGAAACGTGCATCAAAACACACATACAATTATAATAGGTTTGTTTTATTAGGTTGGTTATTAGGTTTATAATTTATAATAGGTTCAGAAGTCACTAGTATCTGAACCCTACTATAATTATTGTTTTCACCATCAATGAGGCGTAGACATAAAATCGTATACCACACCAAGACAACGTACATCTCTTTGTAATCGTTGTTTGTAAAGTAACAATGTTTGCTCTCAATATTGCTTAGCAACGAAAATCATTTCGAGATTCGTTCACTCAAGAGTTTTACTGGCTTTTAACTCATGGAATGGCTCTGGATTTAACTCCCGCGGGTGCAGCTGCAGGTGGAATTATTAACCTTACCCCAGACAGACGTTATGATGACGTCATCTTATTAGTGGTCCACATGTGGTCTCCGGATGTTCCAGAGTTTAGGACAATGAACGAGACATGAACTTCCAGCAAACGTGGTAAGTTCTTTGAATGTAATCAG